AAAGTATCAAAAGGGAGATACTGTTTTTCAGTAAAGTTTCTTCATCTCTCTCTCCTCCTCCCTCCCTCATCTTCTGCAAATGATTGGAGAAAATAACTGTGCAGCCAGAAGAGCATAACAGTTTTCCTGCCACCAACAATAGCTAGTGGGGTGAGAATATACTGCCATCCAGTAATTCTGAAGCTCAAGGATCTTTAGTGGGAGTGACAGAAAGCACTCATATTCAATCCTATTCCTGCCTTCATAAGAGGCAGCTGGTGAAATCCTTCAAGACAAAGATGATTATACATTGGCTAAGATGGCCCCTCAGATACCTTAAAGCAGTGGCAAATCATGAGTCATGAAGAAAAAGTCTCTGACAAGAAAATAGATAAATTGAGGGTTATGTCATGTAATAAGATATCAGATAGGGAAAAGGTATTGTGTACAAATTTATAAAAGCACTGGAAATAATAAACCAGCAAATGACAAAGATAGCCAAGAAAATGAGTAGTTATGAAGCTCGAATTGCATACTATACGCAGACACTCCAATTTCACTGAAATCAGAAATATTTTGACCAATCCATCAAGGAAGAGGCTACAGGGAACCAGTGAACACCTGATAAAAAAGAAACAGTACAGTTCTGAGAGAAGCTATGGGACAACCCAAAGAAATATAACAACAGTGTATCATGGATGAAGGAGGTAAACGGGGGGGGGGAAGGGAAGCTGAAATTTAAAACTTGTATTAACAGCAGTCGAGAAAAGGGCAAGGAAGATCAAGAATTGGTCAACACCACATGAAGATGAACTGCATGGTTTTTGGTTGAACCATCTGACTGGTATATATCCACAATTGCTAAGGACTTTAGTAACATACTGCAAGAAGGTGAAATTGAAGATTGGTTAACCTCAGGTAAAAGCTACCTGATAATGAAAGATCCAAAGGAGCAGCACTAAGCAATTATAGACAAATTACCTGCTTACCAATAGGACCCATGGCAGCACAGTGGTTAGAATGCAGTACTGCAGGCTACTTCTGACTGACTGGCTGCTGGCTGCCAGCAGTTTGGCAAATCGAATCTCACCAGGCTCAAAGTTGACTCAGCCTTCCATCCTTTCGAGGTAGGTAAAATGAGGACCTGGATTGTGGGGGCAATAAGCTGACTTTGTATAAAAAAAGAGCACTGCTTGGGGGGACAAAAGCCCTACTAAGCAGGTATATACAAAAGTATGAAGGCTATTGCTTAACGCATTGTAAGCCGCCCTGAGTCTCTGGAGAAGGGCAGCATATAAATTTAAATAAATAAATAAATAAATAAACAAATCTGAAGATGAATAGATAATACATAATCTGAAATAGAATTGCTTCTTAACATTGTTTAAATATAGAGTCAAGATCGCAATTGAGCTTGGACTTGACCAATGTGCACCCATACCATTAACAAGAGAAAAATAGTGAAAACTGAAGAAGTCAAGATCTCCTACGAAAATGATATCAAGACTCTAGATGAAGATACAAATACCCAGGCAAAATCAAGCACACTGAAATCACAGAAAAGGTTAGTAGTGGACACATCAGAAAAATGAAATCTTAAAATCTAAACTCAATGGCAGAAATACTATTGAGGTGATTAACATCTGGACAACTCCAGTCATTAGATATGCAGTTGATTAACATCTAGACATCTGGACAACTCCAGTCATTAGATATGCAGATATGCATTAGATATAAGTGGATTGGACTCAAGCAGAAATAAAAGCCTTGGGTAGGTAGTTCAGAAGAATAATGACAGTGAATCATGTATTTCATCCACGCAACCAAAGACCATAGATGGGCATGAAATTTTGCAAGAACACCAACAGTTGAAGAAGAAAAAAGGGCATTGGCAGAATACCCTTCACTATCTGAAGGATAGTGAAGAAGAGGCACTAAAGTTATTTTGCCGTGAAGGCTTACTGAATATAAAGAGGCTACACTAGATATGAGAAAAACCAAACAAGAATAAAAGAGAAGTATAGCAAGGCAAAGTATTACATGGCAAGTAACTATACTAGCTGCCATGCAGATAACTACAAGACCTGGCAATGGCTAAGAGCAGGAAAGCAAGAAAGAAATAATTCTGTCTGCATTAAAAGAGCCTTACAAACAAATGCATACAAAACCAGCATTGAGAAGACAGCGACAGGAAATGCCTTCTCTGCAGAGAAGCTGAAGAAATACCTAGTTGGACCATCTAATTAGCTGCTGCAAGAGACTGACTACAAACAATGGCATGACAAAGTAGCAACAATGGTGCATTGAAATAACTGCAAGAAATACTATTTGCCTGCAAATAAGAACTGTTGGGACCACAAAACATAGAAAGCAATAGAAAACAAAGAAGAAGAAGGAGATCTCCTTATCTTTATCTACTCTGGGATTTTAAAATTCAAACAGACAAGCATCTGCCACATGACAGTCCAGACCTAGTAATTGTTGATAAAACAAAAAAGTATGGATAGTGGTCATGGCAGTATCTGGAGACAGCAGAATAGAAGAGAAAGAACTGGAGAAAAATCACAAAGTATGAAGATATGTAAATAGAAGTAGAATGATTGTAGCAAAAAAAGTTAGTCCCAATAGTAAAAAAACCCTTGAGTATAATTCCAAAACATCTGGAGCACCACTTGAACACCATTGGCATTGTCACAAAATCACATCAGTTAATTGCAAAAGGTAGCCTTACTTGGAACACTTTATATCCTGTGGTGGTACCTTCAATATTATTAAACAATAACATCTGCTTAGTTCAGGTCCTTGGATAAGACTTGACAAAGCCAGTCTAAACATTTGGCTGACTGTGTGACCAACCGTATTAATACATATACCTGGCTATCATCATTATTTATTTTGTTCATTGACCAAAATATTCAGTACTACCATTAATTTCTTGGTATAACACGATACATCACTGAGTAAATGAAATTCATCATTTTAATAAAAGTCAAAATTAATGTGAATCACAAATACAAGGATCAAAACATCAAACCAGAAGTTTCACAAGATGGCTTTTTGAACTGTAATGTATACATTTTTAGACATGGAATTATTCTATGATGGAAGTTGCCAGCATAAACATTTTTTTGGATGATTCAGAATGGAAAAATTTAAAAAAAAAATAGAAGAAAGACTATTTTGATGGAGGATGGAAGAGTTAATGACCTGAACCTTAATATTATTGATGGAGTAATAACTATGCCTGTGTTCAATATTCCACATTCATTTTACAATCCGGTTTATAATCCTCTCAGATTATATTTTAGTATTGTAAAAACATCCTACTGATTTGTAAAAATCGTGCTTCATCATTTTGAAGTAATTTTACAGAAACTTTGCCTTGAGTGGCAACAATATGAATGTTATTATGGAATAGCAGCAGAAGCTAAACCAAATATATAGGATTAAATTCCTCATTTGAATTCTTGCTTTAGGAGGAAGCAAATGAATACAGTTTCTGGTATTTTGCATTAATAATTTGACTGCTGTTATGCAGTCTGAATCAGAAGTGCCTTTTTATGTTTATACATTTTTAACCAAAGAATGGGTTATGTGTAAAATCACTCTAATTTCATATAGACAGAGAAGGGGATAATGTTTCAAAGGCAATTGCTGTTAAGTTTCATGAATGCTTTAATACTAGATCCTGTACAAAATATCATTGAATTTATACAGAATAAATTGCTTTGTTCTGTTTGGACAGTATTAGAATCTTTATCAAGTATCATAAACCTATTTCAAGAAAACATATTTAAATGAACAACATTTCTTACTACTGTATTAAATAGCCTCTTTAATCATTTTAATCATTCATGGTTAATTTTACTTGTATATAATGGTTCAAAATGCCTTGCTCAAGATTGAGAAGCAGATTCAGTTTTCATTACAAGGTTAATAGGTACTTAAGGATTATTATCATTTAACAACTTGATGAATGACAAATATAAATGATTCAATATCAGTTTCTTATAACAAAGTTGTCATCTTTGCAAGAATCACATAAGCGGTAATTTAAATCCTATCTAAGCATATTTATTGCAACTCCATCCTCATGGCATCATACCATAAAACCAAGCATACTTATTTATTTTCTTTTTTCTTTCTTTTCTTCTGGTGAAAATGCCTACTAATCTCTGTATAGTTACAAACAAAGCTGATGCAAATTCAGAATGTGATTACTTACTGATATAGCATGAGTCTGTATATTCATAATCATATATTGTATGCACAGTTGGGGATTTTCACAAGATGTGATTTTATCCAGTGAATTTCCAATTTCTGTATGATTATGTAAATCGTCTGTTAGGTTTATAGTCTTCTTGAATATTCAATGTGTGTGTCTTTTATATATAGTAATGGCCAAAGTTGTGGAAACCTTTTAGGAAAAGTGTATTTTCCAAAACTAGCTAATAACACCACTTTTTTTTGGATTAGTACCATAAAATTATATATCAGTGGAAAGTTACTTTAATCAAGAATGTAATGCAATAACTTTTATAAAGGATTTGCTATTAGAATAGCAGTTACAGTATAAAGAAGAAAAGTGAAACACGTAGAAAAAATGAGATATACAAAAATTATCACCATGTCAGTTAATACTTAATTGGGTAACCTTTAGCATGAATTACGGCCTTAAAACATCTTCCCATGGAGTGAATCAAGACTTTTAGTTCTGCAGCTGTTATAATGTGAAACCAAGATTGAATGATTGATTCTATTAACTGGGTTTTATTGCTGGGTCGCTTCTGACTAACAAATTTCTTTAGTAGGCTCTATAGATTTTCAATTGGGTTAAGGTCTGGGCTATTCCCAGGCCATTCCAGCAGTGGAATATGATTATCTTGAAACTTCCCCCCAAAAGTGGTGTTATTAGCCATCAAACCTCAAAAATACACTTTTCCCAAAAGGTTTCCACAATTTTGGCCACTACTGTAAATGATAATCTGTAGAAAGTAAAAATATGCTCTTTTTTATGCCAGATAGTCTACATGGGCTGGACTGAGGAACGGGAACAAGATTCTCTTCAGGACCGAATGTACACACCAAAGTTTCTTGCACTAAGGGGTTCTTCATTTTATAAATTTTTAGCACCTCCAGTAAGTATCATTCTGTATCTTGCTTTATAATTAAATGTAGAGATCGGGAGGGGGAGGTACATTGATTTGGAGGTTTTATGTTAATTCAGAGATTTTCATTCAATATTGTATCAGGAAAAAAAGTATGAAAGGATGACAGAGAAAAGATAATAATGGTAAAAAGTCAATAATGATAGCAGTAATGAGAAATGATTTATAAGTACAACTTTAATGGAAAACTGATCTGAAAATAGATCCTCATTTAATTTATATTCATAAATTAAAAGAAAGTCTTCCTCCTTTTGCAGTTCTTCCGTTTTCATCAGGAACAACTTAAAAATAGCTCTCTTTCTATATACCAACTTCCAAGAAGGGTACATTCAAAGCCAGAAATAATTCAAATTAGATAGCTTTAAAAAATCACCATTTTTTTCTATAAATCATAGCATGCCTTCTTGCCATCTCATTGCATATGCAGGTGTAGGTGGGTTGGTGGAATTGCTTTTCAAAATTGTATGGGAAATAAGTGTAATTAGTTTTTGTGTACATTTTTATTCAAGGTTACAACGTGGGACTGGACCCGGGCTGAAAGAACATTTTCTGTATATGAGATCATGTACAAAATATTCAAGGTACGAAGAATAAAAATAAATTTCATTTACATAATTAAAAAGAAGAATAGCCTAGATATAAAGCATAGATGAATTTCCACAGAAATGGACACTGGGTAGAAATTATTGCAATATACAATATCCTAATTTCTTTAAGATCATGGCAAAATACCCTTAGTTCAAGGGGAGGAGGGCCCTAAAACTATTTTGAGCGGTCTGCCATTGTAATGGTATGTGGGAATGATTTTGGGAAACCAGAGGAAGAACACAGGCCAGACAATCATCATGCAAGAGCTATTTCATTCCACAAAAGAAGAGGGGACCTGGGAAGCATTTCAGAAGTGACCCTCCCTGGTTTTCTGGAGAGTAAAAAGGACGGGAGAAATATTTTCAGACTTGCAAGATCCTGTTAACGTAACTTCACAATAAAGACAGAGCTAGTATTCATAGTTGATGCTTCTTGTCTAGAGTACCTTGAAGGGATAATGGCCATGAGGGATAATGAAAAATCAAAGCAAATCTTTTACTCCTTTATTTTTATCCTAAGGTTACAAAAGTCAGGGTAGTAGGTAGCTCATTTCTACATACCATCCAACTTTTTGCTCCTCAAGGCTATCAAAGCAGCAGTTTTTTAAGTATGTGGTCAGCGGTGGCTTTTCATATTAATAATATTCAAAAGTACCATACAGGTAGTCCTTGACCACAATTAAGCCAAAAATTTCCATTGCTAAACAAGACAGTTATGTGAGTCTTATCCCATTTCATGACCTTTCTTGTCACAGTTGTTAAGTGAATCACTGCAGTTTTTAAGTTAGTAACACAGTTGTTAAGTGAATCTGGCTTGCCCATTTACTTTGCTTGTTCAAATGATCATTTGACCCAGGGACATTGCAACTATCATAAATAAATGCCAGTTGCCGAGTGCCCAAATTTTGATTATGTGACCAGGAAGAGGCTGCAACAGTCGTAAGTGTGAAAAATGGTCATAAATCACTTTTTCTGTGCCATTGTAACTTTGAAGAGCTAATAAATGAATGGTTGTAAGTTGAGGACTACTTATAGCAGGGATGTCAAACTCGTGATGACACATCATCATGCGATGTATCCAGCGCTGGGATTCAGCCAGTTCGCACCACTTCGGGAAAACCGGTTGTTAACTTTCTGAATAGTTTGGTGAACTGGTTGTTGGAAGAAATCATTAGGGCAGAGAACTGGTTGTTAAATGATTTGAATCCCACCCCTGGATGTATCACAACTTTTCTCCCCTTCGCTAAAATGGGGGTGGGAGTGGCCAGCATGTGATGCATCCAGCCTGCGGGCTGCAAGTCTGACACCCCTGACTGTGAAGTTCAACTGACTTATAGTGTTAGTGAAAGAAGTTTTAATAATATCAACTGTGAAGTTCAACTATTCTTATTTGATATTTTGCCATCTGTGCTTTTGCATTTTGTGAAAACATTGTAAACTAGAATTTAACTACACTGTTAAATGTACAGACGTATATCAAGCAAATAAATAATAATAACTTATTTGGAAGATATTAAACTATTAGCCAGTATTTATGTGTACGTATGCAAGAGTACTTCCATATACAATATTTCTGGAATTGTTTATGCTGAAGTACAACTGTGCTTCACAATATATTATCTCTGGAATTATATATGCAGAAACTGCTGTTTGGCTAATGGCTTTTACTAAAAGCTGAATTCAGAATAATATTTTGCTAAATGTCACTTCATGATAGCAAGTTACGATATCTTTACACAAAGTGCTAGATATCTTTGCAAGTAGTTGGAACCTGGTAATTGGTCATTCAGCTCTGAAGTTACTTGTCAGCAACGTATTTCTTTAAACTTAATTTAATATTCTTTCCAATCTTATAAATAGTGTCTAGTGAGTGTCATTTAAACATGAGATATGATCCTGGGTATACTGTGTGCATTAGAATATTTTTCACATAAAAAGTTGCATGAATGCTATAATTAGTACCAATCCAATCCCTTTGAATTATGTCAATTTATTGGAGAAGACATAAGTGCCTTATATCCTAAATCTGCTTCTTTGTTTCTGCTTTTGGCTTTCTTGTTGCACGCCCTAGCATACTTTCCAAAGATAGTCTTTTCTTTTTCAAGTCCTTTCTTTTTTTGACAATCTGTCTTTCTTTCCCTAATGATGCCTCTTGGTAATAGCCATTTGAGCCACAGTCAGCTGTACTGATGGCATTATTTCTCTGCTTCACTGAACATTGTAACTTCTGTCAAGTCGAATTTTATATTGATGACTTAACAAAATATATCAATTCTGTTCTGGAGTTTGCATGTAATTACCAATATAGAAAAATGGAATGGAAGTTACAACTAAAAATTATCAGACTGATGTCATCTCATTTTGAAGAGTGATTACAAAACTATTCATATAATGAAGAATATAAAATTCAGTCAACCTATGGAATTCTATAAATTCTTGGTTCTATCTATCCAGTGATTTTGATCAATGAAATAAAGCCATAGAAGAAATCTTGTACAAATCTGAGGCCATTCTCTTATCATTAACCCAAGATCATAATAATTTCACCCAACTATACAAAAGTATACTATTGTAAATGTTTTGAATACTGTTAAGACTCAATTGTCACATTTCAAAATAAATATTCCAGTACTGGGGAGGGTTGTGAAAAACTCACCCAAATAATTAAAGGCCAGAATATTGATTATTTAATTTAGAAAACTGACCTAATACAGGAATTGGCCATTTTTAGTTTAGAGCAGATGCGAGAGTTACTGAAATCTAATACAGAGAAGGAATATAGAGGAAAACCTGGAGGAACGTTGTCCATGGGGTCGTGATGGGTCGGACATGACTTCGCAACTAACAACTACTACAACAACAACAATACAGAGAAAGCATACAATGAATGTTGCTGTGGATTTGGAACAGGAAAAAAAAATACCGGGCTAAATTTTGGATTTTTTTTATACCAGACAATGTTAAGTTGGGATAGTTGGACTTTATCTTCTACAGTAGGGGCGCAATAGCTCAGTGGTTAAAGATGTTGAGCTTGTCAGCTGGAAAACTAATAGCCCAGGTTTGAGACCCAAGCACCAGGTGATGAAGTGAGCTCCTATTACTTGCCTCAGCTCCTGCCCACCTAGCAATTTGAAAGCATGAAAATGCGAGTGGATAAATGGAGATGAGCATGACCCCCTAGAGTTGGAAATGACTAGACAGGGAAAACCTTTACCTTTACCTTCTACAGTATTTTACTCTACCTCAGGAGCTAAGCAATCTTTTCTGACTCCCACCCCCACCCTTTAACAATTCACTCATTCTTTTCCAATTCCCAGGCCAAGTTTATTCCTTCATGATGTAAGTGTGTTTTTAGGACTCTCTGTTAACTTGAAAAATGAAGCTTATTTTTAATGAAAATGAGAAAATGTATATTGGTTTTGGAATTGGAAAGCCAATGTAGGTCTAAGATTGGAGAATAGTTTATTTTCTTAAATTAAAGCTGTTTTTATTTGTGAACTTGTATACACTGCGATCATCAACATTTACTCCTAATCACCCACATAGCAGCACTTTCTTTGCTAAATTAAAAAGTAGTAGTGAATGTAGAATGAACAAACAAGATAGAATGAAGCTATCAATTTTAATAGCTCTTAATTTCTTATTTCTCTAAGCTCTATTTTATTATGACTATGCATTTGTGCATAAAACCTCTCTGTAAAAAAATTACACAGAGAGGCTTTATCACTTACTACCATTCATATAGTATGCCTTTTGTATAACCTTAAAATAGTATTTGTCTGATAAATATAGTCTTTGCAAACAGCTCTTTTATAGTGTGGGTTAAAAGCATCTGGATTGGAGGGAGTCAGAGAAACCAAGATGATAACTATGGCCTCTTGCCCAGAAGGCCTTTTTCAGTTACTTCTCAGATTAAAGCTATGAGATAAAATAGGTCATGGTAGACGGAAAAATTTATTTTTTCAAAAAAAGGGGATGTGGTTCTTATTCTGGAAGCATCATGCATTTTGTCCTCATATTGTATCCCTCTCTTGCAATGTGCACCATTTTATTGTAACGCATTCCACAACACCTACAGATAACATTCAATCAAGAAAGGTTATAATCTAAATCATATTCAAAATATTTTCTGTAGTTTTTGTATATGTATTTTTATATTGTATATGCTGATGTTTCTTTTGCATTTTTATTCAAATATCTTGGTGGCTGAATTTGTTACTGCTTTAGTCAATAATGTTCCTAGAGTGTCCACGATATCATTTAGACTGATATGTGTGTGAATCAGCTTTGTGACCCATCCCTTGAAGAAATAAATAGTATTTTTAGTTTTGTTCACATTATATTCTTTACCTTTGACCCATCCGATCCTCTAAAATATTAAGTTTGTCCATTTATCACTAAGCACTGAATGAAAGTGGCATCTTCTATTGGTATATCTGATCTTAGAATCAGAGCTGAGATTAAGAATATTCTTATTATAGCATAAACCTCCCAAATTGCAGGTGGAATATTATAAGTGGAAATATCAAACATATTTGCAATGGCATTGGTATTATCAACCAACATAACCAAGTCTTCAAATACAAAACAACCAGAAGGATTTGACTTAGAATTAACAGTATGTAGGTTATGGATTTGGGAGGATTAGAATTTGGTAGCAATACATAAATCAGAATAAACTGTAAGCAGAGAAAAAGTAATATGAGAGAGCAACAACTGACAGATTTCTCTCTTTCAATTCAATGAAATGCTTTGCTTGGCATTTTATTCAATTTGAATTTTAGGACTGATTTAGATAGCTTTTAGCTTTTCTGCCATGGGGATGAAGTTATGGAAAAGATTTAGTGGGAGTACACACATACTAATTAATTATGTAACTACTATCTGCTAGAAGAGCTAAAAAGATACCACACTAGACAGAAGGAATCAATTATCTTAGTCATTATAAAGCTGCAGCCTTTGGAACGAATGAAACATTGCCTTAAAATGTGGGCAATCTTAACTGGTTGAATTTAAACTTATCAGGTTTGACATTGTGTGGTTGTAGTTATTAAATGTTTTTGTTTAGAAACATTCTTGAACATTTTATCCCTTCCCTTTCACAATCTGTTCAATCTATATTTCACAAATGTGAGATTGACAAAAGGTTCTTGTAATAGAAGACAAGTATTGATATTATTATTCTAGAATATTACAAGTACAAGCATTACACTATTTCATTTGATGAAAATATCAATCATATCTACTTGTCAGGTATGAAAGATCTGGATCACACATGAAATTCCAGTTAAACTGAGTTATTACTAATTATGCCTATGTACACGAAACTACTGAACTAACAGTTAGCATTATCTTGGTGTTAGTTAAGGGTCAACAGAATTCAAGAGGGGTTGGACTTGGTATGTTTGTGGCTACATAGAGACTCTAGGCTTATTCCTCTTTTGATTCCATCCTCAGGTTTTGTCACTCATTCTCTTACACTGCTGCTACTATGGGGAGTTTTGGTAGCTAAATTAATCATGGAATTTTGCTTTTTCCTCACATATCCTGCCTTTTTTTTAAAAGGAATTTCAACTGTTAAATTATCTTTGGTAGGATAAATAATTAACAGCGAAGGCTATACAGTGACAGTGAAAGCTAATTTACTTAGAATTACAGCTCAAACCAGAGATTAAAAAATTGAACAAAAAGTCCAGATGAATTGTATGTAATAAAAATTCAGATGAAGAATCTTGTGGCACTGTGCTTTTTGTTATGTTGTTCACATGCATTTAGCCAGAATTGGCCAAAGATTCTAGACAAAAACAATATAAGCTTTTGCCTTTAAGGGGTACCAGCAATAAAAACCTCTGATATGTATGTCTTGACTATAAAATTTGATAAACTTTTCTTGTTGCTGTAGAACTTTCTATGCTTTTCTAAACACCTATCCACCAAATCAATTGAATGAATGTGAACAGCATAGCAATCAGGATTTGCAAGTCACGAAAAAGAAATTATTATTGCAGCTATGTACTTCAGGAAGCTGATAATATTACCAAAGCAAGATGAAGGCTAATAGGAAAGTAATGATCAAGCGAGTTGTATGATTATCAGCTTTTCAAATTTATATCCAGAAAATGGATAATGGAACATCAGAATATGACTGCCTAGGGTGTCAAAATGATAGGAATTGGCCTTAATCATAGCATTAAAATGCTTTGGTATCATTTTTTTTACCATGTTCCCATCACATTGCCTTCATCTCATCCTGAATCGATGATGAATCCATGAATGGCAGGCCTGTATCATTCTTAGCTGTTTTGATGTTAAATTTGCATTTATTGCCTTTATTCTGATGTGATCCAAAGACAGTCTGAAGGTGTATAAAAATTCTTCTATTCAGGAGAATGAGGCCAGGAACTGAGGCGAGATGGCTTTAAGACAATTCTCTTTATTAGGGCAAACAGCTAACAGGCAACTAGAACAGCAAGAACAGCAACAGGCAACTTTCTGTCGCTGCTGCTATTTATACAGCAGCTGTCAAATGGGTAACTAATGGCATGCGTTTATTTTCCCACCGGCTGAGCTGTCATGTCTCAGCCAATAGGTAACGTTTCCGTGTTGCTGGACAATGGCTTGGCTACGGATGCAACAAAAATAAGTTCGCTTTTGTCAACCTTTACCTTGGAACAAAATCAGAGTACTGCTGTGATTTCAAAGAACGGCAAGTTAGGAATCAGCAGTGAGGGAAGGTGGATATTTTTCTTCTGACCCAACATAGAATAATGAATGAAGAGCACCTCAATTCAATAGTGGGAAAGGTTGTCTGTCTCAATATGTTGTGCTGCAATACACAGGCTAACACTATTGAATATGATATTGACAAGTTTATTGAAAAAATGAGAATAATCTCAGAGGTGGGGGGGGGACTGGAAACCAAGTCCTCTGAGGAACATTGCAAGGAATTGTATATGTGCAGCTTGCACAAGGGAAGACTGAAGACAGATATGAAGCAGTCTTTGGATATCTAAAGTGTTGTCAGAGAGAGTAAGGAATAGACTTGCTCTTTATTGCCTGGAGAGAAACTACAGGGAAGTAGATTCAGGTTAGTTGTTAAGAAAAGTTTCTTCATAATAGCTGATATTGGGCAGTGGAATAGCTTGCTTCCTAAGTGGTAAGTTGCCCATCACTAAAGATCTTCACAGGGGCTGGATATCTGTCCAATATTTTATATTTGTCCAAAATGCTTCAGTGGATCCTGCATCAAACAGAGGATTGGATTTGATGACTTTTTTTTTTTAATTTGATTTATATGCCGCCCTTCTCCGGAGACTCAGGGCGGTTTACAATGCGTTAAGCAATAGCCTTCATACTTTTGTATATTTATACAAAGTCAGCTTATTGCCCCCACAAACTGGGTCCTCAATTTACCTACCTTAGAAAGGATAGAAGGCTGAGTCAACCTTGAGCCTGGTGAGATTTGAACTTACAGTAATTGCAGACAGCTGGTGTTAATCACAATGCTATCAGTCTGCTGAGCCACCAGATGACTTTTGAGGTCACATCCAGTTCAGTGAGATGATATTTTTTGTAAAAGAATAAACTGCTGAGCAATGAGAATAATTTAGCCAACAGCTGAGGAATGAAGTTCCCCATTTTAAGACTATTAACAAATATAATAGATACGTTATACAATGCAGCTATACCTTCAAATTTGTACTGAGAATGCCTTGTGTGTGAATAAATGTGGATTGTTTATTTCCTTACTTTCCAGCATCAGGCAGTACTTAACTATTGCTGGTTTTGTTATTAAAGTTTTTAATAATGTTTTAACAGAAGTTTTATGTACAGTATGTATGCATTTTACTTGCAAAGTGCAGCTCAGTAACATTTACAGATCACAGACTGAGGTTCAATAGTAATTTCTGTTAAACAAGCTGAGACTTTTTCTACTCTTAATTCCTCCTGATTTCTAATTTGATTCACAGGCTGATTATTATAATATGTATTCAAATATGGCTATGATTATCTCCAATCAGCCAAGGCAAAAGCAAGTTACATTTTTTTCTAATTAACACATGAATTTACCAGTTTAGGTATACATAGTAGTAGAATCTAATCTAATCTAATCTAATCTAATCTAATCTAATCTAATCTAATCTAATCTAATCTACTCAATCGCTTTCTTTCCACTTTGTTATTTTCAAGGTGACAACTTTTAGCCACAGACATGTTAATTAATAACCTCCCTTTTTTAAGGGAGGACATTTTTAATTTTTAATTTTTTCAGACTAGCAATTAAATAATAATTTGTCTTAAAAAAAGAACCATAGCAAGATTGCCTGTTTAAATGAATTCTTACAGATATACAGTTACCTCTAAGATTTTCACACACATTTCAAAGTGGTAATCAAAATAAAAGGACAAAACAACAAGAAATACAAACCTTAATGAGGCAATATTAGAATAGAGTATAAAAATTATCTTGAAGCTGGAATCTAACGTAAGAAATCTATGTGTGGAATTTAATCAACGATCAAGTCATCTTTAAGGAAATGAGCCTTCATATTTTTTTAGAAGAGAACATGCATTGATACTGAAGAACATGATTTGATACAGAACTTTGTGAGGAGTGTCAACTTATACCCACATTTCTTTGGACTGGGAAACAATTCCTAAATTGAACATCACAACTTGCCTTTGAAACTGGAACGTATAATGTTTAAATTTTATTAGTGTAAATTCAGCTGTATAAGAGAACCATATATGTTTTAGTCAGTATATTCTTAATTTAATTTATATAGACCCAGATAATTAAAATAAAGGCATAAAATTTACATGGTACGTTACTCTGTGTAGGTACTTTGTTCTGCATCTAACATGTGCATCAATACTAGAAGAAATTTTAATTGATGTATGCAAGATTATATAACTCCAGGTTTTCATCAGGACAGTGATATACTGGATCGGCGAAAACACTGCTTTGGAGTACAATCTGAAATGGGAGAGGATCTCTACTTCTCTGTGGAATTAGACTGTGACCTCATACTATGGGAAAAGGCCTTCCAATCAGCAACTTTTTTAGAAGTGGAGAGAATACAGGTAAGACATACAGGATGCTCAATTTAGAATTTTTTAAAACTATGTCCTTATGTGATTGGTGACTGTGCTAGTACAGTTGTGATAGGGTTTTGTTTTGTTTTGTTTTGTTTTGTTTTGTTTTGTTCTTAAAACTAGCTTTGGAATATTGTAATCATAAAGCTTCTAATAAGATGGCCTTCTGATTAGCAAGCTAGTTGAATATGAACTGGATGAAATGTTTGTTTGATCGATCTACATATCTGTTAGATGGATTTGTATTCAAAGGGTGTCCACTGACAGTTTAATCATCAACTGAAATAAGTCATTAGAGGGAATACCTTTGGAATTAGTAATTGGCCTTGTATTTTTCAACATTTTCATTCCTGACTTGTATAAGGTAGATAGAAGGTTTATAAAACTTGCAGATGATTCAAAACTAAGTGAATTAGAGAAAACTCTAGAAAACAGTGAATTAGAAGGAACTTCATGGGTTAGATAAGTGGCTGAAAACAGCAGAATTTAATTTAATAGGTTAAGAAGTTATTTATAAAGGAGAAAATCAAATGCAAAGCTGTACGATGGGAGCTACTTAACTTTCTAGTGGCACATAAAAACTTTGTAGAAATCACAAATTGACTAAAATTTGGCACTGTGACATGGCTGTTAAAAAGGCAAATGCAAGTTTAGATTGAGAGCCATGACATGGCTGTTAAAAAGGCAAATGCAAGTTTAGATTGAGAGCCAGTTTGATGTAGTTGCTAAATTATCAGGCTATAAACTAGAGGGATTGCTAATTCTAATTTTGCCTTATGCAGAAAACCAGCTAGATCTTGGGCCAGTCACTTTTTCTCAGTCCTAGAAAGGTGGAAATGGGCAAACCACATCTGCAAAACCATGCCAAGAAAACTACAGGGACTTGTCCAAGCAGTTTCTGGGAATCAGATAAAATGAAAGAAAAAGAAAATAGATTGACACAATAAAAGTGAGCTTATAAATAATAAGGAATACTCATTCCACACCTGATTGACCTTAGCTGATCCCAAAAAACTAAGCAGCTAAGCGAATTCCAGGGCTGTAAACTAGATTGGGGAATTAGGGGAAAAACAGAAATCAACACAGATTTCATTCTGCATTGGTCAGACCTCACCTCATGTACTCAGACCACAGTCCTGGTACAGAGAAAGGCAATATAGGTTCAAGAGAATATAAACTCAATAAGGAGACACTGAGGGAATTAGAAAAGTTTACTCTCGAAAATAGCTAACAAAGGAGGATATGATAATACTTTTCAAATATCCTGAAAGGGGAAATACATAGTAGAAGGTACCCTTTTATCTCAGAGTGCCAGATATAGCATAATTATTTAGGTTACTGCAGGGCAATTAGTAAGTTGTAAAACATTCTTAAATGTAAGAAATCTATAGGAGAAAAAATTAAAAGGAAGGTGGTGAGTTTCCCCTTCACTGGATATATTCAGGCAGAAAATGAGCATGGTTGTTTTAAATTGGATTACTGCACTAAGTAAGGGAATTGGGCTTGATGATTTAAATAACCCTTTCAAATCTCTAAATTGTTAATATTATATTAATGAACTTTGTGTTAAAAAAGATTTAAATCAAATATGCATTAGCTAGTTCTTGCATCCCAAGCCTTCAGATGATGAATGAGAGACATTGGGCTATTTGATACACTCAAACAAACCAAACAACAAGTTGTAGTACTAGCAGAGATGATGGGTTTTGTTCGTTTTTTTAGATTTTATTGAGAACAGGAAAACAGACTATTCAGCAAGGCTTTTTATTTTCAGGAAAGTATTATGTGATAGATTTAAATCTCGGAAACTTACTGAAAGCTTACTGAATGACCTTGGGCAAGATATTATAAGGATAACTTACCTCACAAGATTGTTCTTGAACACAGTAATTGCTCTGAACTCATTATGTAACAGATAAAACTCAAGACAATAAAAATGAATAAAAAGAGCAGACTTCTGGGAAACAGAAATCATTGAATTGAATTGATTTTAGTGTAAGAGGGCAAATAAACTTAAAGAGACCATTTTTGAAATGGCAAGTTAAAAAGCCTACTGGGGCCCACAGAAACCCCTTTAAAAAATTTTTTTTTTCCATTACAGAATAACGACCTCCTCTTTACCTAAACTTTGGAGAAGTATAGCATATGCTCCAAGGATAGAGGATGTATTTGTGTGGTCAATACTCTACATAAGAGTATTGTCAAATCATATCTGGAAACATCACTAAGAAAATTTTGCCCCATCTGATCAATATATTTCATAGACATTTTTGTTTGATATGCATTCAGCCAATGTTATGTCATATATGCCTCACCTACATTCGATGATCATTTTTTATGGTATGTGTGTATTTAATTTTGACTATATATATGTGGATTTGCTTTTCTTTTTTGAACAGTAGGGACGGGTATGGCTCCTACTGAACTGATTCTTCTTGGTAAACTACGCATCTGGCAGATCATTAAAGCCATAAATAACCATGAGTAACTGAAGGATGGTTTCCATGGATACAATCCTACTGGGTTACATAAACAGAATGAATAAGAGAATTGTTTGATTAGTAAAATATCTTACCTTTTTTTCTCTCCACATTACAATTTGCAAAAAAAAAATGTGTATATGTGTGTGTCTAAAATAAATAAATAAATGAAGAATCATCAACAAAGTGCAAAGTTAGAATGTTTTTGTATGAATTCAAATATAAATAGCTATAATAGTTCTGTGTATCTCAAATATGAAAAAATATCTCAACATTCTTCTAGCTAAGTCATTATAGTAATTGCAAAAAGGCAATGAAACCATCAAATCAAACTATTATTATGGTCAAAGACCAGCATACACTGAAATCAATATAGTTCATAGTATTGCATTTTTAAATAATATATCATTCTAATCCATAATGCATTCCTGTTATGACTCCCTATTTTGCATTCTGACCAGGAACTTTTGAAAAACTTGTTTTCATTTACCCTGTAGACCTTTACACACTTTTAATATTCAAATTACTGACTTTTTACACATTACACATTACAAATTACAAATTACATGTTTCTTTTAATTCACATTGATCGCTTTTTAATAGTGTCTCTACATTTTTTAATTTCAGAAAAGAGGTTCATTGAGCAGTATAATACATTATTATTTCAAATTTTCACATTTCTTACTAAATCAATTCAAATTGCAAATCTTGACCATAAAAATCATGCTTTAGGCTCTGGTCTTCAAGCAGAACAATTCAGAGACCCAATTTTAAGACTCTATATTTTTGGTAATGAGTACAAGTGAGAAAATATGTTACCTGTCATACAGATAATCACTTTGTTGAATTTTTTATGGTTTTGCAGTGTGTCAAATAACAATTGGCTCCTTGGTTCTCCAAGGAGCTGAGAGAGATGAAGCGTCGGAAAAGACGCCTAGAGAGCATTTGGAGGACTAGTCAATCCGATTCCAACCGGACACTGGTGAGGTCTTATATCAAGACCTACCTAGTGGCGATAAAAGTGGCGAAATCTAACTATTTTTCCGCTCTTATTGCATCTGCAGAGAACTGCCCAGCCGCTTTGTTTAGGGTGACCCACTCCCTTTTTCGGGGGGGGGGAGAGTGTGGGAAGATCCCTTGCAGGGTCGAGCTGAGGATTTTGTGCAGTTCCTGCATGATAAAGTCGCTCGGATTCGGGAAGGCTTGGACTCCGACTGGGTGAGTCCAGGGGAGGAGACGAGGGCAGGTCTTGAGAACATTATCTGGGAGGAGTTTGATCCTGTGGCTCCTGGGGATGTGGACAGGGTTCTGGGTAGGATTAGTGCTGCCACATGTTTATTGGACCCGTGTCCCTCCTGGTTGGTACTGGCCTCCCGGGAGGTTACACGAGGCTGGCTCCAGGGGATTATAAGTGCTTCTCTGAGTGAGGGTGCCTTTCCCGCTGCCTTGAAAGAGGCGGTGGTGAGGCCCCTCCTCAAGAAGCCTTCCCTGGACTCAGCTGAATTAGCCAACTACCGTCCGGTCTCCAACCTTCGTTTTGTGGCGAAGGTTGTTGGAGTGTGGTGGCACGACAACTGCCTGGGCACCTGGATGAAGCTATCTATCTAGACCCGTACCAGTCAGGCTCCAGGCAGGGGTACAGCACAGAAACGGCATTGGTCACGTTGGTGGATGATCTCTGGAGGGCTCAGGATAGGGGTTGCTCCTCTGTCCTGGTCCTATTAGATCTCTGAGCGGCTTTTGATACCATCGACCATGGTATCATGCTGCAGCGGTTGAGGGGGTTAGGAATAGGGGGCACCATTTTGCGGTGGTTCTCCTCCTTCCTCTCCAACCACTCACGGTTCGTGTTGACAGGGGGGCAGAGGTCGACTTCGAGGCGCATTGCATGGGGAGTGCCGCAGGGGTCGGTCCTCTTGCCCCTTCTGTTCAACATTTATGTGAAGCCGCTGGGTGAGATCATCCGTGGTTTTGGGGTGAGAGTCCATCTGTACGCTGATGATACTCAGCTGTACATCTCCACTCCAGACCACCCCAACGATGCCCTTGATGTGATGTCTCGCTGCCTCGAGGCCGTGCGGGTCTGGATGGGGAGAAATAGGCTCAGACTCAACCCCTCCAAGACCAAGTGGCTGTGGTTTCCGGCGCCGCGATATAGTCTGCTGGTACCATCGCTGACTATTGGGGGTGAGTCTTTACCCCCCACAGAGAGGGCCCGCAATCTGGGCGTCCTCCTGGATGCACGGCTGTCTTTAGAAGAACATATGACGGCCATGGCCAGGGGGGCTTTTTATCAGGTTCGCCTGATCCGCCAGTTGCGGCCCTTTCTGGATCGCGACGCCTTACGCACAGTCACTCACGCCCTTGTCACCTCCCGACTGGACTACTGCAATGCTCTCTACATGGGGCTCCCCTTGAAAAGCACCCAGAGGCTCCAGCTGGTCCAGAATGCGGCCGTGCGGGTGGTTATGGGCGCAACTCATTGTGTCCACGTAACACCCCTCCTGCGCAAGCTGCACTGGCTACCAGTGGTCTTCCGGGTGCGATTCAAGGTGTTGGTTACCACCTTTAAAGCACTCCATGGCATTGGACCTGGGTACCTTCGAGACCGTCTTCTGCCACCAGTAGCCTCCCACCGGCCAGTCCGCTCCCACAGAGAGGGTCTCCTCAGGATGCCATCGGCCAAACTATGTCGGCTGGCGACACCCAGGGGGAAGGCCTTCTCTGTGGGAGCCCCTGCTCTTTGGAATGAACTCCCCCCAGAAATTCACAAAATCTCTGATCTCCGTGTATTTCGCTGTGCCCTCAAAACCATGTTGTTCCGCCAGGCTGGGCTATCAATATAATGATTTTAATTGGTTTTAAATTGGGTTTTTAAATTCGGGGTTTTATAAATTAGGCCTATTATTTAATAATTTTAATTATTTTAAATATTGTCTGTCTTTGTGTTTTTAATTAGGCTGTATACCGCCCTGAGTCCTTTGGGAGAAGGGCGGTATAGAAATAAAATTAATTAATAAATTAATTAATTAATTAATTTAAAGCAAAAAAAATCATTCTGTATGGCAGAAAGTTTATTGTAAATTAACTAATTAATGGCATTTGTTTAGCTACCAAACTTTGGGTAGCTTACAACCGAGGAATAAAAGCAATATATACAGCTAAAACAAAAACAATAATATCCAAAACAGAAAAACTTGGTGCTGCAACTACACTTCACTGATGCAGCTCATTACATTCTCATCCTTCCCTGCTTATCTACCAGGCATGTGGAAAGAGCAAGGTCTCTGTGGAAGATTAAAAGGGTGGATATTTGGCTATCTGTTCCAGGGGCTACAACAGAAAAGGCTCACTTCTAAGGACCTACAAAGTGGCAATGTTTAAGGGAACTCTCTCCATTCTGGTGGGATGGGCAAATACTTTCAGTAGAGGTTGTCCATCAGATAACCTGCTTCCATGCACACCATATAAGTGCTTAAAGGGGGTAGCCGTCACCTTGAATTGGATTCTGATATTGAAAAGACCTCTGGTATTATGTACTGTCTTGGCAGCATTCTTATTTTAATTTTGCAAAAGATTAATTAACATAAGCAGAGGACTGTATTTGAAATGCAGCCTAAGATTAAAAGCCATAAAGTAAGAGGCTGAAAACTGACCTTTTGCCATTTGAGCTATGATGTATGTTAAATTCTTTCTACCAATTTGTAATAATTGCTCAAAGCCATTATAATATTTAACCTTTCAATGTTTCCTGGTAGGAATTGTGCTTGGCATTGATAGACTTATAGGTGAAGAATGTACTCACAGAAATACTATATTGCATAATTGAGGTGGGTAGCCAGTGTGTTTAGAAAATCACTTTCTCATTTATTAAGGACAGGATAGAAAAAGCATCACCTTCAATACATAATTTAGATGACAATACAAATGTATCACCTATACAAAATCTCTAAGGAAAAAGGCACTTGTCAAATTAAAGAAGAATACTGGGAAGATAAGATGACAACTATTTTGATTGAAAGCAACTTAAATTTCTTTTCTGGCATCTGTGGCATTGTATCAGTTTAAATCAGGTTTAGAAGGAGCCATAAAACGTTGAGAGTGCAAGTGATAAATCCATTGTCTGTTTCTTAGATAAGCAAACTTTTGGAAATAATGGTATGTTGCAAAGTGAAGATATTCCGGATACTAAATGTATTACTTGGCTATGTAATTTACCTTAAGAAAGCACATATTGAAAAGGTGAATGCCAAGAAAATATTTTACAAGTTTACTATAGGATTGTCTCAGATTATCTATTTGTTCTATAAATATCTGCCAAACTAAGACATGAATCTATAATCAATTTGATTAAGAAGAATAAAAGAGAATTCATGTGGAAGCAATTTCAACCTTCCTTTCCTCTTAAGCAATTTGGTATATGTTTTATGCAGACTTTATTAGCAATTATTGTAGCCTCGTTATAGAAATGTGTTAGTGATTTAATGTGAATACTATGCCTTGTAAATCTACAATCTTTTTGATATTAGTTTAGCATGTTCCAAGTTATCTTTTAGTTAAAGGCATATATTTTTCTACATATAACTCAAGTACAAGCCAAGGTGCTTGCTTATACCCAATTCACTTCCAGGACTTTTTTTAAAAACTCGGTCAGTTGTCAGAAATAAACTATTACAAAGAAGCAGGTCTGCAAACAACAAGGCTTCACTTTTGGAGATACACAAGGGCCTGAAATGAAAACACTGCTAGACGTCCAGTGAGACAAGGCATAGTTTTTTAAAATCCAAACCTGTGGGCACCATTTATAGAGACATACCAAGTGCATGAATTATACACAGTCCTTAACATCTGAGTTAAATCTTATTCTTTATCTTGCTTAGTAACAGATATAGTGGTACATATCTTGGAAGACCCTTTTCAAGCAAAATGTCTATGCAGACTCTCAAGTCATCCAGGTTATGGTTGTCCCAAAGGTGCTTTTTCAAAAGGCAACTGGACTTTGTATTTCTTTGAAGACGTTTCATTTACTATCAGAACTGAAGAAGCTTTTTGGATGAGAAGCAAAATGTCTTCAAGGAAAAACAAAGTCCTGTTGTCTTTTGAAAAAGCATCTTTGGTCATTTACAAGCAATTACTGTGAGGCCAGCTGTGAAATAATCCCATCCTATGCATTGGTCAACAGAGTTCTTATAAAAAGTGAATGACATCCTCTGCATTCCTCTCTTAACTTCTTTCTTGACTTAGAAGATAAGCATGATTGGAAAGTAAAAAAAACAACAACAAAAATTACAGAATACAACAATGGATTGTTTCATATTGTTGCTAATAAAACTGTGTGATCCGTTTATAGAATGACCTGCTCACTTTTGGGGGAGAGGGCACAGGATCATCTTCCTGGCCATGGTAAGGACTGTTCATGAATGAAGACAAATATATGTGTCCCAAGATAATGTTGCAGGATCCAGTCTGGTTTGGTCACTGGGACCAGAGGTTTTGGCTTCTGAGCTTTTGGACTCATGCTGGAGCCCATCCTCAGGGATCTTCTCTCTACCAAAATGAGTGTGAGAAGTACCCTGAGGATGAGCTCCAGCATGAGCTTTGAAGACTAAATCTCTGGTTTCGGTGACCGACTCAAATTGAATCCTGAGAAATGTTCATGCTATCTGGCAGACAAAGTCCCTCAGATTAGTGTGGGGTTGCTCTGGATGAAATAGCACATTAAAGATGGTTTCATGTTTTGCAAAGCCAATGATTGCAGCTAAGAACAAGTAGCCGACAAGGAGATGGACTCCTTCACCCTTTCTGGGGGGGAAAAATGAGATTTCTCACATTGCACTACATATGGTTGCAAGCATTTTATTGGACTCATTTCTAAGATGTATACTAATGTTCAGATTTTTCTTTTAACCACAATTTTACAAATTGAATATAGCCTGTAAAATGCCTTTTAATCTGTTGCATTGTTTTGATTTTTTTCCAGTGTAAGACATATGCCTGTGTTTTGGAGAGTCATCTTATGGGGCTTACCATAGACTTTGGCATGGGCTTTGTATGCTTCGATGCTGCAACAAAGGTAAGGACAAGAGATTTGTATCAGTGCTCCAATTCCAAGAATCACATGATGGAGTTATTTCAGTGATTGATGAATGAAAATAAATAAGAAAATGGTGAATAGTCAGCATGTGATGCTATGGTTATTTGTACTTGAAGAAGGTAAAACATGTTGGCGAAAGTACTTCTGGTGAGAGAATCATGTGTCAGGGAGAAAAAAAATCAAGAAAATTGATTGATTGAAAAAAAAAGATTATAAAATCATATGCAGATCTTTTTTGAAAAAAATAGAATTGTGAAATTATGTTTTTGTAATGTCAGCATCTAATTTGTTCTAGTAAAAATAGGCCTTCTGAGACTATGACTTATAGACTTCTCTCATGTCTGAATTTTTTAAAAAGAAGCACTGGATTTTATTTTCTTCTGCCATAGCAGAATATTTGAATAAGTAGAAAACAAGAGATAACAATGCAAAAAGTGATCAGAGCTAAAAGTATTTGTACTATAAAGTATCTGATGTACACATCTACTCTTCTCTGGTCTCCTCCCCATTCTTTCTGGACTACTGACTATATCCGTAATCCTACTGCCACATTCTCCATAATCCAATGGAATATAAAATTCCTATGCTGAAAGAATGGATACTGCCTCCTAATCAGAGTACTGGTGATCCTAAGATGAATTTAAGAGGAAAAACATAGAAGATTGCATTCATGTTGAATCACCAGGAGTCTGAGATGGACCAGTTTTGGTTTGTAATTTGGTCAAACTAAATTGAGCTACATTTCTCATCTTGCTGATTATTGCAGTTTACCAAGATCAGTTGCAAATATATCATACTGTCACGTTTACTCTTTGCTATAAAATTGTAATATAGTAATGGGATGAAAACTACTGCATGAAAAGATAATATTTTTGAATTACAGTGCTCTACTTACAAACAGGCTACATTTCAAGAAGCTATTTGTAAGTCCATTTTCTTCATAGATCCAATCAACATTTTAAAAAAAACATGCAGAATAACCCTCATACCCTCAAAGTAGTAGTGAGTGCCTCAGCTTCTTCTCAATCCTTGCTCTTGGGGAATGGTCTAGGTCCATGATGGGGAACCTATGGCACCCAGTTCAGCTCCACTGTGCATGCATGCGCGCCTCCCACCAACCAGCTGGTCTTTGGGCCTCTGCCAGGGGGGCGGGGAGCATGTGGGGGCACGAGTGCATGTGCGGAGGTGGGGGCATGCAGGGGGGCCACATGTGCATGTGTGTGGGGCCATGCATGCATTGCATTTTTGGGGTTCAAGTGCTCACATGCATGCTTTAGGCACTCGGTCCAGAAAAGGTTAATCATCACTGGTCAAGGTTGACATTTTTTCAGTGGTAGAGGAGCCTGGCTTTGGTTCTGGAAGACCTCTCTGACATTGATCCACTGCAGCTTTGGCCACTGGCACCAGAGTGTACTGGTCATCCCACAAGCCATTGGAACTCTTACTAAGGCCTACCAACAAGACAATGAGGTGCCACCACCCAACACAACTCAGGCAGAGAGATGAGGTGTACACTGGTTAGTTTTGAACAATGGTGGACAGCTCACACTACACCATTCTCCATGGGGATAAACAGGGGTTAATTTGGTGGGGGCTTCTCAACAGCACAGAAACTCATAGCTCCAGGTCCTGTTGACCATTCTGCCCAGTTCCCCTACCATGAGCCCCTCTGGGGAGTTCAGGGTACATGTGGGTTTGGACTATCCTGGATGGTCTCACGTGGTGTGACTCAACTTTTTTTCTTCTCCATCCAATTAATCACAGACTCCATAGGCTAACTCTCCCAGATTGCTGTTCATGTTTGCCTTTGGCAATCCTCTTCCTTCCTGAGGAGTTTGGATCCTCTTTCATGTGTTTCTGTACCTATCTCCACTGTCTTCAGGTGTAGGATGCAGCCATCGATATGAGACTTGTGCAGTTGTGCTGCCAAATGTATATATGCAGTGCACCATAAACTAATCCTGTCCTGTTTTTTCCTGACTGCCAAGACCCTCTAGGTTGGAGTTACAGACAGGTTTGTTCATATTGGGAAAAAAATGCAACTCAAAAGTTTGTTAAGTAGAGACTATACTTGCCCAGGGAAACAAAACCAGAGCAGATGCCTTCCCTTAACAATTAATTATTCTGACAACAGTTATAACTTCTAAGGATTTTAGACTAAGGTGCCTAGAATAGTTCCATCTCCCTACCCCAACTTAGAACAAATGACACAAGCTGAAATAGCTTTCTATTTATAGATTGCTCTCAGGATTAGATGATATTGTTCTGATCTAGTTGTTATAGCAAAAAAAAAAAAATGCACTCTCCACATTACTCATAAATCAGGTTGTAGTTCTGCAATGGTAATAGCAAAGCAAGGAAGAGCCTATATTTTACAAATGAAGGCAAGTATACATGTCCCAAGTTAATGTTGCAGGATCCAATCTGGTCATCGGGACCAGAGGTGTAGTCTTCCAAGCTTCCATGCTGGAGCTCATCCTCAGGGAACTTCTCTCTCACCAAAATGTCACATTCTGGCAAGAGAAAAATTAACCTAAGGATAGGTTCCAGCATGAGTCCTAAAACTCAGAAGATTAAATCTCTGGTACTGGTGACTAACCCAAATTGGATCCTGCAGTTTATATTTTGTGTCTTCTTGTGCTTCTTTCCTATAAAATGTAAACCAATATCCACCTAGAGAAACTGTTTTCTTTGATGAAATCCAGCTGATATGAAACTGTAGGAACAGAGGATATTAATGTAATTATGGGTTCATAAGTATATCTTTGTAGCAGAGAAAACTTAATACAACTGAATTAATCATAATACCCCACTGGCACAACGTACTGATCAAAGAGAAATACCAGCGGCCCTAGCAGACAGTAACCATTAGATTCAGACTCAGTCCTTGAAATATTTTTTCTAACCTTATGGCAACATACTTTGCTTACTCACCTGAAGCAAGTAATTTGTTTTGACAAATTCATGACATACTCTCAATTCTCACATTACCATGATTACTGCAAGGGTGATCAGTGCTTTTCTGCTGATTTTGCCAGTCCAGAAACATGCTTCAGGTCTTGTCAGGCAATACTACTAATTCTTCCAAACTACTTACCTGATCAGAAGACTAAATTTGGTTTGGAACTATCCACAGGGCACATCCTGTATTCCATTACAACACATGTGTGTGCATTTGTGTCAGATTAAGTTTTTCTTAGAGTTTTAAGAATTTCAGTTTCAATACTGAAACTGCATATTTGGTAAGTGCTTCTGTCAAATCACTCAGCAAAGTATTTTTCACTCAAGTTGTTGAACATTTTTCTAAAGAAATAAAGTTCAAAAACGGTTCAATTCTTCTTTCCCAGGAGACAATGGACACTTGAAACAAGTGCCAGAAATAGGCCTAAGTACTATCTACCAGACTACTAAATACTACCTAGCAGCCAGCCCAGAAAAAATGGCTAGAGTGATCTATAATTTTAGTAACATTTAAACTTTATAAACAGAGCTAAGTATTTGCAGCTGAATGAGAACAGAACGCAATCAACAGTAATGTATTTTCTTTTTACACAGCCCACAAATAACACAACCATAGCAGGAATGCATTTCTCTAACCGCTAGAATTCTTTTCAGTTAATTCAGTTAATAAGTATTCAAAAATAGATATGAAAATTCTTGTTTTAAATTCTATTTTATGTTTTAAGCTATTAATTAATTAATTAATTATATATGGACTTATTTTATGGACATACATGGACATATATTTTGAGAGCCAGGAAATTCTACAGAGTAGTCTGGCTAGTTTGTTTAGTTCACATTGTCGCGCTATCCACAGTGCACCATAACAAGGTAAATTAGCATTACACCCTAATAAGAATAAGAATAATATAAGAATAAGAGAATTATTAGGAAGATTGAATTTAAAAGTAAAGATAATTGTCGATGCAGAAAGTTGTAAAATATTATATAATGTTGCTATTTATGTTTTGTATTTTACTGTTTGGTGTACGTGTAATAATAATAATAATATAATCTTTGTTAGAAAACACTGTTCATTAAAAAAAATTGCAGGTGTAGCCTTTTTTGCATTTGGAACTCTGTTTAAACAATTCAAAATTTTCCCAATTTTTACTATAATTTTGGTATAAATCCTGTCTACAGGGTCCAAAATTTATGATTTATTGTACATATGTTTCATTTTCATTATAGTAGTAATGATTTAGATCTGTATTCAGACTGAGCTCTTTGTATTTTATTTAATCTAGCTTAATAATTTTAACCATGCAATATTACTCTTATTTGTTAATTTTTGTATTATATTTATTGCTGTTCTCTCATGACATATTTTTGTTACATATTTCTTTTTTCTTTTGATTTGTAAAAAGCCTTTATCAATTTATTTTTCATTCATTTCCCTCTGTTTTATTTTTTCATGCATTTCCATCTAAACAATATTAACTTCTTCCCAAAGTACAAGTTTAACATAATAAATCTCTTTGACCAATTTTTCTAATGAATATGGCTTTATTCCTCTTGTAAATGTATTAGACATTAAACCCATCATTTTTCTTAATATTTGTATTCCTACGTATTTTCCCCAGTCATTCGAAAAAAATAATTATTCACTATTAACATATTATACGCTAAATCAAATTAAGTCAATTACTTACAAATCATTTCATTTATCTCATAATTACTTACAAGTAGCTCAACAAATTATTTAAAAATTGTCTTTCAATTAATTTTCAACTAGCTATTTAATGGGTTTCAACATACTAATTATTAGTGAGCTTTAATCAATTTCCAGGCACTTTGGTTTAAATTATTATATTTCAAGAATAAAAAAAAGCTAATTAAAGGTCTTGTTCAAATGTAAGTAGTTTACAGCTTATGAACTCCCATTCCATATATCTAATACTATAATTGTGTAGGAGGAATATAGATCTGTATTCACTAGTCTGCTGTCATAGATCAATATAAGTAATCCTCAACTTACG